TTATTTTTCATTTTGTAACAGCATTTAAATATAGAAAAATAGTATCTTCTTATAACATTAATCCTATCATAGTCTTCAACTGAATTTAAGATTTTTTTTTTTTTTTTACAATGAGTGTATTTCCAAATTCAGCATTTACTACACAGTTCACTTTAGTGGTTGATACAGGTTGGAGACATTTCATGCCTTTGAGCTAAACTTGATTTCAGTCCCAACTGTGACATGCCTGTGGTAAAATGATAGTGAAGGTGAAACTGCATCCCTTTCATTTCACAGCCACAAAGCACTCCGCCAACAGAAAAGCAGCATTATTTTCAACACCTCTGAACTGCAGAGGTGGCAGTTATCAATACTCTCGCAGAAGAGAAAAGGAAATCAAAGCTGAGTGAGACTAGGGTCATGGTCACACAAGTTTTAAGGAAAAGATCAACAGGCCACAGGTTACCCTTTCCTTGGAATCACTAGACCCAAGATCGCCACAAAGTCAGGTCCAAGGGGATCAAGATCACCAAGAAGACAGAACACTGCTGTGCCTGGCCCAGCCAGCCAACAGGGTATTTTTGACTCCACCTCATGAGGTACTGCTTTGATCAAGACGACATAGGTCTACAGCCTCAAACAGTACTCTTCAAACTGAGTTACAACCATTAGCGGAATATGAAATCAGAAAGGTTCGACCAATATTTTTGGAATAGAATCACTCATAGAATGGAAAATATTAGAGTACATTGACAGTAATAAGAATAAACACTTTTTTGAAACTTGTTTCCATTTTACATACCCACACAGTACTATCAGTTTGTAATATCAGTTTGTGCACACACCCTTCACTATCTAAATCCATTTAGTTCTTAAGCAAGAATACATAGAGCAAGGGATCCTATACAATTATGCTTCAATTGGATAGCCATATAAATGTTTTTTTTTTTTTTTTTTTGAACCAGGTCAAGAGAAAGATGAGGAGGAGGAAGAAGAAAATTGAAAGTTATCAGCCTAAACAAACCACAATAAGTAGAATATAAATTTAAAAATGTATCCCCAAATAATTTACACCCTCTTCTCCTGTCCTAATTATCTTTCATTTGGTTTCCATGAATTTGTATGTTTACGAATATATCTGGCTTTATTACAATTGGTACAACAGGCAGAAGGTGGGACATAACTAAACGACAGGACATAAGTTTGGATGCTCAGCACCAAATCCCTCACAGAGCAAGCCAGGCCAAATTCCAACACTTCATCTACCAAACTACTGGACAGAATAAGGATCAGAGGCGGGATCACTTCTCCTTTGAAAAAGCCTTTAAAATGCAGGTTTCTCAAATTACTGGGCAAAGGACCAATTGTTCTCTAAAGATATGGAACCCTGAAAGGGATCATGGCCAATTTCTATTTTCCAGTAGAATTGAATTTGTTGGTGTATCAAAAGTTTTTTAAACTTTGTGACAAACTCTACAAACCACGCAATATTTTCAAATGTGATTTTAGAAAAATCAGTTTGCCTGATACTCTTAAATAACTCCCACCACAACCTGCACACCCTCCATCCTACATCTCTCTAAATCTTACCACTTTCTGTCCTGGCCTGGATGGCTAGATGTGGTAGCCCTGGCTAACTAGCATGGGCCTCTGCAGGAACTGTCCAGGGACTTCAGGTGGTCATAATTCCTTGGCAATTTAGTCCCTTTTAAATTCCCTGGCTGCTAATCAGAAGGTTGGTGGTTGAAACTTAACAGCTGCTCTGTGAAAGAAAGATAAGGCTTCCATGAAGATTTGTAGCTTTGGAAACCCTACGGGGCAGTTCTATTCTGTCCTATAAGATTGTTTTGCTTCAGAATCAAATTAAATGGGTTTGATTTTTGTTGGCAGTTCCAAAGCACACCCTCAGGGTATGTTGCCCCAATAGTAACAGTCCCAAAAAGTCTTGAATTTAGGAGTCAGGCGGCGTAGTACCTAAGGTATTTGACTGCTAACCAGAAGGCTGGTGGTTCAAACCCACCAGCCACTCCTCAGAAGAAAGACTGGGCAATCTACTTCCATAGTGATACCTCCTCAGAAACCCAAGGAGGGGTCACTATGAGTCAGATCCAACTTGGTGTCAGTGAGTCTGGGTTTTTTTTTAGGTTTTTTTTTTTTTTTTTTTTTTGGCATTTACAAATACATCCTTATAATAAAGGAACAGAGTCCTACTCACCAATTAATTTAATGTAATGGGCACTAATCACTCCCTAGGGCTACTCATAACAGTACCACCCAATACCAAGGGCAATGTTCTCTTGGTATCTCCATGACAAACCTGTTATTAATGAGTTAATTGTTTTTTCCTTAGTCACCACAGGTAAGCGTATTTAGTCTAAGCCTGAGTAGACTTGAAACGCAATGACCTAATCTCAACATTCTCAACAGTGCATTAGGAAGAAGAATTTTGCCATTCAGCCAATAGCCACAATTTCAATTCTGTTGCATTATCTGGCTTTAAAAATTAATAATTATATCTGAAATACTAGTTACCTGAATTTTAACTTTATTTTCTAGAAAAAAATAACGTTGATCATGAAGTGATAATATTTCTCAAAGTTTTAATTAAATGCCAGCTATGGAGCTCTGGTAACGTAGTCCTAAGGCACTTGAATGCTAACCAGAAGGCTGGCAGTTCAAACCCACCAGCCACTCTTCAGAAGGAAGGTTGGGCAATCAACTTCCCTATTGATACTGCCTTGGAAACCCATGGAGGGGTCGCTATGAGTCGGGTCTGACTCGACGGAACATAACACAACAACATAAAGAACTTACCTAACAATAGAAATTACAGCTGAACTCCACAGCAGAAGTAGTAAGAATTTTTATAGTTTTCTCAAAATACTGTAATTCTGTGATATTTTTAAGGCAGTCAAAAAACTAGATTAGAGAGCACAAGTTTAGCAAAACATAACTGATGCATAGTTACCTTCCAAATATAATTGCAAAATACTATACCAAGCTTTTGAAAACTAAACTTCAAATATTGATTTTCCCTATAAAGTCTGCCATCCCATAAAAATGTATATTCAGCAATTGAGTAATTTCATATCAACTTTTGTTCTACCCACTTTCCCACTTGGGAAGATGAAGAAAATTTCTTGAGGCAACATGTACTGATGTTAAATCAGAGCCTATCAGAGGCATCTGGAATAAAGGTTACTCAGTAAGCAGTTAGATTTGCTGCTGGGACAGTCCCTGTAGCACCAGCAGACACTTCCTCTACTAGGTGGCAGTTTCTAAAACACCAAGTAAACAATTTTCAGTAGATTATCTACTTAATCAGAAGTTGACACTGCCACAGCGCATAATACTATGAAGGTAGATGGCACACCTTTACAGAAGTTTCATTTTCAACCTCCTAGAACATATACACAGCAGATCTTTAGATGAAAATTGAGAACGTTTATGCTAAACAGGTTGCTTATATCAATAAGGAGCTCTGGTGATGCAGTGGTTAAAGCATTCAGTTGCCAACCAAAAAGTCAGGGTTTGAACCCACCAGCAGCTCCGTGGGAGAAGATGAAACAATCTACTTCTATCAAGATTTACAGCCTTGGAAACTCTATGGGGGCAGTTCTACTCTCTTATAGAGTGGCTATGAGACAGACTTGACTCAATGGCAGTGTTTTTATTTTTTGTTTTGTTTTAATGTATACATTATTAAATATTCAAATATTTCTAAACACTTATATTATTAAATTTTCATTCAGAAGTTTTGCCTTTTTTACACCTTATTTTTTACTCAATGAGGCCTTAACAGTAGTAGTAAAAGTTGTGGATGAAGGGTAGAGAGAGTGATATGCTTAAAATCTCCTACTAAGTACCAACATCCAGAATTTGGCTCTGTGGTGCTGATGGGGGGGGGGGTGGCTGTTAGCTAAGGTATTTCCAGAAAAAAGAAAATGAAATCACAAAAAGTATTAAAAACAAACACTATAACTTGTCAACAGTTGAAGTTGCATCTTCAGATTTTCTGTTATAAAGGACCTGGATCTAAAATGAGTATTGAAAAGACGTCTCCTTACTTATGGATACAGAAAGGAAGAAGTGAAGAAGAAGAGAAAGAAAAATACTTTTTGACGGTTAAAAAAAGTATATATGAGAAGTATGGTATCACTTACAAGCCAAAACCCGCTACCTATTTGGATCTTCGGAGGGATAAAGGGCATTTCTGCAGCCCACGGGAGATGGCTTTTTGCATACATAACTCAAATAAATCACTCCAGCACATGAAGGAAGAGCACTAGAACTCTTCTCACTAATTATCACTGCCTGGACCCCATGTGCTGCTTCCTCTTTAAAGCCACACTAGTTCATTATTCTGCCTTAAAGTCTCTTAAATGATTCATTCCCCGCTTCACTCCTGAGCAGACTCGGCAGGGAAGCTAGTATTTAAGTTTAATTTCTAGTGCCTCTTGGTTTCGAGAGCTTGCTGAAGGGAAGGAGGAGGAATCTAATTTAATAATTCTGTCATGATTTGGAGGAATACTCCCGCCCCCCCACCCCCAAAACAAACAAAAACTAGAAAAACAAGATGCTTTGGCAAGCTGTAATAGTGAGCAAAAACACCAGTTGAGAAAACATGGCCCACGTGCAGTGGGAGCTGTCACCCAAGGGAAGTGGCAGCCGGCGAGGAGGCGGGAGGGTGGCAAAGATCTGGCTGCTGCTTGCAGCTGCACGAGCCCTGGCACTCAGGTCTTCTCGGGGGAGACCCGAGGAGCACCTGAATGGTGGTTAGCTCTCTCCCAGACCCTAAACCGGGAGAAATCAAAGGGTAGGTAGGCCGCCTCCCTTATCTTCTGGGGCTGTCACTGCAAGAAGGTGAGACCCCAGGGCACGCCGCGCGCTTCCGCAGAAGCCGGAGCCGCTCGAAGGGGGCCCTGCTCCGCGGGGTTCAGGGCACCCCCAGCGCGCCAAGGAGCCAAGGAGGGAGTTCCCGCGCCACAGCCCGCCGCCCTCAGCGCAGTCCCCCACCTTACCGTCCCAGCTCCGACTCCACCTCGAAGAATTCGCTCAATGCATCCCTGTTGGAGCCGTCGATCCAGTAATCAGGGACAAGACTTCCGGCCCCTGGGGCCGCACTGGCGGTAACCGAGGAGCAGGACGAGGCAGAGCAAGAGGCCACCGTGACTTTGAGCATTTTCGCGGCGGGACTCGAAGCCGTCGCCGCTGTAACCGCCGCTGCCCGAGCAAGAAGCCCCGCGGCCCGCCGCCGCCTGCAAAGCAGGAGCGAAGAGGTGGCGTCCTTCACACACGCACACACCCACCGCCGCCGCCGCCCCCTGGAGCCCGCGGCCGCGCTCTGGATAGATGTGGGCGGAGAAGGGAGCGAGGAACCCGGAGAGGGTGTGGAGGGGAATCCGGAGTCACCGCCAGCAGGGGAAAAAGGAGGCGGAGGCTCTGCAAACAAGAGACGCCCTCCCCCTTCTCTCCTCCCTCCCTACCTCTCCACCTCCTCCTCTCCAAGCCTTGCCAGCCCCCCTCCCTTTTTTTCCTTTCTCTCTCCCCAGCAGTGGCTGCAGCGGTGCCGCCTAGGGCGGCTCCGGATGCAGGAGCTTGGGGAAGGCTCAAGGACCAGAGCATCATCCCACGCGCTCTCCCGCGGGAACTGGGAGCCTGGAAGGAGACCGCGCGCAGTGGGACTCTTGTTCCAGGAGTGGCAGGAGTCCAGCGCGCTCTGGGAGCGCAAGGGTCCAGGCGGCCCAGCCGGAAGATGAAAAAGGGAACAGGCTGTTGTTGGCCCAACTCATTCCTCCTTGGGCGCGTCCCGGCGGCGGCTCCCTGCCACCTGGTACCAGTTAACCTGCATCCCTTGTTTGTCCCCGTGTCAAAGCTTAAATCCGAGGCTGAGGAGGGTGTCATGTGGTCTCCAATCCCCCCAGGGCTCCTGTGCCTGAACCCAATGAAAGCTAGGGAAAGGGGAAGCGCCGAGGTCCACGCTGACCTGACTCACCTTTAGGCGAAGTCTTCAGTTAGAAAAGATGCTGCTGTGGCTGCTGGTTGTACTGCCACCTCTGGCACTGCTGGAGCGCCTGAAAGGGCAGATACTTGGCTGTGTCTCGTTCCTTCCTAACATCTGAAGGCTAGCAGCAGAAGTGGCTCGGAGAATTACATGTCTGCAGAGGCCCTGTGGAAGCCAACTAGTCCAACCGTTTGCTTTAAGACAAAACCTGTCATCATTTGTGACAGAAAAGATTGCTTGCATATAAAGTTCTTTCCTCTCCCCCAAGAGATGTGTCCCATCACAAGTATTCTAATGTCTGTCCATCAGCCTTCTTGGCTATTCTAAGTATTGGTTAAATATATATCACTTATTTTAACACTTAAACTTTTTCTTCTTAGATTTCAGCAAAGGTGAAGAACAATTAATTAGTCAGTCATGTTCTGTAGTAAATCTTTATATATGTATATAAACAGTAATTATAACATATCTCATTTCTTGCTAACTCTAGGCCTATTAATCTTACTTTAGAGATGCAACTCTTATTTTTTTTCTTCCTGACTTTTCTCTTAAAAAAAAAAAAAGTTACTGTCATTCAACTCATAGCGACCCCTCCTTGGATTTCTGAGGTGGTATCTCTATGGAAGTAGATTGCCCAATTGTCCTTCGAGGAGTGGCTGGTGGGTTTGAACCGCCAGCCTTCTGGTTAGCGGTACAGTGCCTTAGGCACTAAATCAATACACACGAGTACACGCCACACCACTCCACGCCATTTTCTAGAGCACTCAGAAATTCAGCATGCATTCAATCTCATGTAATTACTAGTAAAGAGTAGTTTTTGTACTTATTTTTCATTTCCAATTAACCAAGAGTCACAGCCCCATCACTACTTGGTTATTATTATTATTTTTTTTTGCAGTTCATCAATGTAGTCCATATATATATATATATATATATATATATCAGAACTATATATATTTATATATCAGAAAGATATATGTATATATATGGAGCTCTGGTGGTGCAGTGCCTAAGGCATTTTAACAACAACTAGAAAATGGCAAGTATATATGAATTCATACAAATTTAACTATATATTGGATTCTTTGGTAAGAAATACTCACATGACTTGTTACTTTTCAGAGAAAATTAAGTTCATAAGCAAAGAGAGATAGTAAAGCTCTCTACAGAAAACTCTTGTTCACACTAAGTTCCTTCTGGCTTGCTCTGAATGGTGGAGAGATGGGCATGAAATAGTTGCTAGACTATTTCTATTCATATTTCTTTGAGACAAATTCTGAAGTGGCATGTGTAGATACTTGTGTATTGTGAGCAATTCTTTTATAACATAAGTCCAAAGCAAACATATTATATTGAAGGAGATTTTAAACACACACACCCTTTTTTCCCCTCTACAGTGTTAGGGAAATTGTCATTTCATGGTACAGAGGTGATTGTAGAATATATATATAGGAGCTCTGGTAGCATAGTGCCTAAGGCACTTGACTGCT